AGAAGTTTGTGGATCCTCGTTAGTAGGGGATCCATTGGAGCAGGGGAAAAGGGTGTAAGGACTCCTCCTCCTCCTTTAAGAAAGAAACAGCAGTAACAGCACGGAATGAAATGACATGCACTCCCCCAGTCCCTGCCCCCTGTGCTGCTGGGGGGAGGAGGTAGAGCTGGGACGAAAAGGAAAGAAAGGGGCGGGGGGAGGAGGAAGGTGTCAGTTTTAAGATCCGGCTTTGTTTCTTTTTATCCTCTCAAGTAACCGGTTTTGTTTCCCTTTGTCCTTTTAAGTAACTGTTAATAAATTGTTTTGCTTTAAGAAAGCCAAGTCTGTTTTGCCCGGGACCAGGGTTGGTGGGTGCTCCCTCTATTCTTGTCTCAACCCTCAGTCCCTTTGTTATATTTTTCTCCTCTCCACTTTACTGGAGAAGGAGCGACTGTGTGAGTTTTAGTTGCTGGATCGGCCTAAAACCACAACAGTCAGAGAAGCACATGGCCAGGCACAGATGCAACATAGCTCAGACAGCGACTACACAGGGCTTGAGCTTAAAAGCAGCTGCTGAGCAATGGGGGAAAAGGCCTCCAGAGAGTCTTCTCTCAGCCATCTCACATACCCTTTTTCCCCACCAGTGAGGTGGGTCACAGCTGCCCCGTATCAGAGCTGTCCTTGAGCACAGGCAGCCAAATCCCTCAAGGGAAGAGGTTGCACTCAGGGCCCCTACAGCCACCAAGGCCAATAGCAGAACGGGGTATGTCTCATTACCAAAGGGTGAGTAACTAGAAAACATCTGAAGCCCCAAATGAGCAACCACCAGGATGTTCCAACTAGCACCAATTTCAATACTACAGGGAACTCTCAGATGTGTTGAAGCACCTGAGAGGTTGAAAAGGAGGGCTTGCCTTCTAATGCTTGTCCCAACTACAGCAAGGAAAAACCCCATATATCTAGAAGAGCAGTGCTACTTAACCACTTGACTGTAGATTTTTTTAGATGAGTTCATTGACTTGCAACTTTTACCTCCTAAATGAGAAGATCATTACTGAAAGGTGACCAAAATAAGGTGCTTGGATGCTTCTAGTAGAAGCAAACCCATCTCTAAAGACAGGCATGAGTAATTTGAAGATAAAAATTTTAAAGCGCACACCTGGTACCAGAAAAGATGTTCAGAAATAATAACAATAATAGTAAAATGGTAGGCTTTTCTAGAACCCACCTAATGAGCATTATTGACATTAGAAAATGAAAACCTTCAGACTTCAAATAGTCAGTGACATTAAACACAAAACATGATTCTACTGGAATATTCATATTTTTCACGTTCTCACATAAAGACACTGCTGGTCACAAGAATATGAACTCAAACACATAATGTTCATACTTAGAGTACAGGCCTTAAATTAAAAAATAAGATAACTTTACTGACATAACACTCACACACATGCATATGTGTGGACAGAGAAGAGGATTCTGAGCTGTGGGAAAAGATGGGGTTCTCACAGCTGTTGTTCATCTCTGAGCCCTGCAATAATATCAAGATGCTCCAAACAAAGGATATTGCTGTTATTCAAGACAGTGAAGCATGCAGCAAGGTCGGCATCAAGGCCGTGCACATCCCGTGATAACAACACCTGGTATAAGCAGGGAGCTGTGTACATACATGGACTGCTGTGTAAAACTTAAAAATACAGAAATACACGATTCCACTGTTGATTGGAGCACGGGAAGGGGCTCTGTACGCTAGAAAGATGGTAAAGGGAAAATAAACTTCAATTCAATCCCTAGCATTTGCAGAGTCCGTGTGCTTACTACGCTACACACATGGATGCACATCTATCCATCGTCTGCATTCAACAACTATGGCCATATAGTACCTAAAAATATTAATTCTACGTATGTAAATTGGACTATCTATGTGCCTTACCTGAAAAACCTACAGCACAATTCATTTCATATGAAGGATCATCCAGAATTTTCACAAGCATGAATTCCAGCACCATATAAACAACTCCAATCAGCACTGAAAACACTGCAATTATGTATGCAAACCATATGCTCTTAAGCTTTTTTTCCAGCATTATCCCCTTCCAAAGCATGGAAATCATGTTATAATATAAATGCCAGTCATCTGCATGGTGGACAGGAGAAAGCAGTAAACGCTGCCAGTTCTTTTTGTGGAAGCCTTCATTTACACTGATACACACTTCAGGCAGCGGCCTCACAGGATTCAGATAGAGAAAAATATTCAGTACAAGTACCCCAAGGGTAACAGAAGGAATGTTCTGGAGTCCAACTTGAGAAATTTGATAGAGCAGCAAAAGCAGTCCAGCATTGACTCTTCCTTGCCTTCGTTGCATTATTACTTCTTATTCAAAGAAACGTGAAGATTATTTCAATTTCTAGGCTTTTGCTTGAATTCAAAACCATACAAGTTTTGGAAATTCTGAAAGAAATAAAAAGATAACTGTGTTATTATACATATAGAGAGGTGTTTTCAAGCTCATCACTGCTTTTTTTTTTTAATAGCCAATTCTTCAAGCTAATGAGCTGAGATCTCTTTTTTCAAATCAGAACAAAAATTCAAGTGAGAAAAAAATTCACAATTTTTAAACTGGTATAATACACAAATAAGAGGGATTAATACAGATAAACTAGACAAGTACTGTGGGAAAAAGGAGTCTGCAACCTCTTTTTCATGTCTTTGGACAGACTTTAATTAATCCATAAAATTCCTGTGTGTTCTAGACATGTTCTCATTAATATCCTGATTCACTCAAAATTATTAGAATTTCAGGAAGGAAACCAGTTTGAAGTTCTTCTCTAGAGTCTCAGTTTTCATGCTTCCCATCTTTGCTACACATATAAATTTTTTCATGACCATTTTTACAACTTTCACAAATATTCAACATAAGCTAAGAATGAAAATTAAAACTTACAATTTCAAAAAGTAACAGAGACACGGCTAAGTACTCCTACATGTAAGCTTTAAAAATTGTTATTGCTTTCCTAGTGATTAGAATTCAAAGTTTAGTTTAAAAGCATGCAATGGAGAGAAAAAAAAACTGTAGGAGGAAAGCATATACAAGAACAGCACATAAAATTTCCAGACAGTCATAGCATTAGTGTCTGCCTCATTTAAGCCAGATAAAACGAAGGCTAGAAAAGGGCTATAGAAGTTCTAGATGTAGCCAGAAATAGGGTTACTATGACAGAAACTAAGAAAAGGCATGAAGCTAACCTGTGCAAGCCTATAAAGAGAGGAGGGAGAAAGCTGCATTGGAGAATAAAGCACAAGGTGATGTGGTTTCTAGAGAGTGGAACCACCTGCAGAAGACAGGAAGAAACACCAAATTTCAAGCAGCTTCCGAGGGCTGCCTCAACTTGGCCAGTGCTATTATCAGTTCTCAAAACTCTCCAAAGTGGCACAACAAGAGCATGGCCACTCCTCTCTACCTGTAGGATGCCAGTTCTTTGCTGAACTATTGAAGATACACAATACGTTTTGTCACACGTAAGTATCAACTATGCAGAGCCAGCAAAATACGCTTACTCTTCAAAACTTTGCCATCAGATTTCAAATGAAACTTCCTGAAATATCTTGATATATACAAAATTCCCATCTCAACACCCCATTCATCTCCTTTTCCATTATATTATAAAATGGTTAGAATAAGTTGCTAACACGCTAACTTTTTACTTAGTTTAAAATCCTTTCCAGTTCATCAGATCAAATAAATGCCTCCTATATAAACATTTTTATCAGATAAACAAATAATCTAATTCTCCTGGAGGACAGCAGAAAAAGACACCTTTATTTGGAGAAAGGACAACAGCTCAAGATGCAAAGTTTAACATTCTGTCGTGGTTTAGACCAGCCAGCAACTAAACTTCACCCAGTCACTTGCTCACTCTCCCCCACCCCCAGGGGATGGGGACAAGAATTAAAAGGGAAAAGTGAAAGAGACCCGTGGGTTGAGATAAGAACAATTTAATACTACTGCTACTACTATGTGAATATACACATACATGTACAATGATATATACAGACAAGTGATGCACAGTGTAATCGCTCACCACCCCTTGACCAAGGCCTGTCCCATCCCAAACTAACGATCCCGAAACAGATAAACCCTGACATTGCAATCCTGGACAAGTTAGAGGCCGAAAATAGACAGCAAGAGAGAGCACTCCGAGAGTGAGAGTCCCGGAAGAGCAAAGGCCCTTCTTTCCGGCTGTCCCTCATTTTTGTACTCGGCATGTCGTTGCATGATATGGAATACTTCACTGGCCAGTTTGGCCTCAATCCTAAGTCTAAGTACAAATCATAAGGGGAGTTGTGGACCCTCTGTCCTAGCTAAGCTCCCCCTATCCTGTTGTGCTCCTGCACACTGGCAAAACAGGGGGAGCTTGAGGCCTCAGTGCCAACGATAAACATCTGTGCACTGTCAACATTCTTCTCAGAACAAGTCTCAGACTAAAACCAAAACACAAGAGCTCTTCTGGCTGCTAAAAAGAAGAGCTGACTCTGTCCCAGCTGAAACCAGGACACATTCCACATTATATCTATTAGGATTTACTAAATTTCACATTTCTAAAGACCATTGGTATTCCTGCAAACACTTTACTTAATATTTTTCTTTACGTATTCAGAGTATTGTTAATAATTTGATCAAGTTGCACTGCACAAAGTAAGGGAACACATGCAAAAGAAGGAAATCACCTCTGAATGATGTTATCCTATAACAGCAAAGGAACTATGAAACCTGCAGAGCATTGAACATCATCATCTAGGGGCCAGCATACCTCCTCTGCTTCTAAGTGAGAGAAGCAAACACCTCCATGCTAGTTCACACACATAACTACAAGAGGTGGCATTAATTAATTAATCCAATTAAGTTATTCTAGTCTTTGTATTTCTCTTTAAATTGCATTTATGCTTATTACAGCATTTTAAGAGAAGAAAAAAAAAAAAACAAACACCTGCTAGCATCTTCAAGACAACTGTAGCAGAACAGAACACAAGTAAATTTATTTGCCACACTAAAAGGAAATTCACAGCATTTTTTTTCTCCATGGTCTAATCTAATAACGTATAAGTCTTGCCCAAAACAGAGTGGAAACAGCAGAAACGTTCTTTATACCAGTGCTCTTGAACATGTAACTCTAGCTACACTGTGCCTTTAAAAAAGTTTCTAAACCTCACAGTTTAACTACAGAGACCACAGCTGTAGTGCCTGCAAAGTTCAAATGAGCTGAGTCTCTTAAAGTGTAAATTGATTGTTGCACATGATAATTAACATCATCAGCCTTTGTCTTTTTAATGTCAACATTACAAAACAGGTACTTAGACAATCAAAACTTTAATCAATGTCATTCTCTTCTTCCACACTACACACTCTGACACCAGGTATTCCAAAACCCCCAAACTGCTCTTATAAGCATCTGTCCAAACCTCTGACTTTTCTCCTACCACTGACATAGTTATATTTTTTCCCACCACGAAACAGTTGACATAAAAACTGTTAGAATTTAAAAGTCAACATCATTTAAACCCAAGTTATGTGGAAACCCCAAAATCTTGCCATACCACGTTGTTCAAATTGCCAAATACTACAGCCTTAGTTTTTAAAGTTCCCCCCTCCTTTTGATACTCTAATTCCCAATTTAAATACTTTTAACATACATGCCCCTGGGAAAAGTAGCCCTCATACAACACATATCTGTACAATAATCATGTAACATGACTGGGAACGGTTCACACCATGATTACAATGGTGCTATGTATTATAAATCATTCCCATAATCGAGAGCCATCAAAAATGTCAGCCAAGACACATTATATGTTTGATCATAAAGGAAAAAGATACAAGAAAGAAAACAGTAGTTATTTGAGAGCTGCCTGGAATGCAACTCACTTAAAATACATAGGGCTTTCAGCTGTTGGAACATTCTTCCTCAGCCTCTACTCTGTTTATTAAAAGCCTAAGGAGGCTTGAAACAATGAAGCACTTATTCCCTTTTCTTATTAGAAAACATGCCACCCACTTCAAAATGTATAAATTTCCAGAACAGACTTGAAATGGACATTTGTCTTGCATCTAGGCTGCCACGTGCCTGCATATTTGTCACCTACTCAAGATAAATGTCTGAACTAAACGTTCTCAGAATTTGTTTGTTTTGTACTAACCAAGTGCAAAGCATTTAAAATAAAATAAATAAAAACTTTTATTTTTACTGTGACAAATTCCCTTGCTCACTTGGCAACCATAAATTATTATGACTTCATATTACTGAAAAATCATGTAATAAAGTAAATATTTTAGTAAATACCAGTTAAAATGAAAAGTTACACTGTCTTTTCCTATAGCTGCGCTTCGAACTTGGAGGAAAAGAATCTCCCTGTACCTTTGCTCCCTCCAAAATGGACAACACTACTCTGAAGTTTTGATATATTTTTATGTGAAGGAAAATCCAGTCCATTGCCCTTCTCCTAAAAAAAAAAAATAAAAATAAAAAAAACACACTGTGACATAAGCCTAGATTTTTATGAAACAGACAGAGATGTGTAACATCTCATTGCCGAGGGTGAATGCAGCAGTGATCTACAGATTTTGCCATTACTTGCACAGCACATCCTAATCTTCAGATCTGTCATCAACCTTCTCCCAAGAACTGCTTTGTTCTTCTGGGTGCTTTGCAAAAACGATTTGTAACAGAGGCACATCAACACCGTATACCTCTGCACCCACAGAAACAAACCACAGGGTTCCTCTTTCGGTGCAGGCTGGAGCATGACTTGAGGGAGTTTCTCTGTTGCCACCACTAACTTCACTGTGATTCACACTGTAGAGTGGCTTGAATGCGCATGAACCAGTCCCTTTTCAGATGAAACCAAACCAGGAGATGTGTCCCAGGAAAGAACCCAGTGCACTTAAAAACAACTAGGCATTCAGTCTGTATTTCCAGATTGGAGCCAGACCAATGTAAAACCCTATACATCCAATGTTTGAGTAGCAGATCCTGAGCATAAACCATTTCACATTACAGAACTATTTCACATTACAGATAAGCCTCAACAGGCCCACACGACTTGTCTATGAGGATACAGCCTCAGGGTACAAACACTTATCCAAGCAAAGAATGAAACAGAAACTGGTTTTAGGGCAAAAGAAGAGTCCTATAACTGTAAACCCTTTAACCATTGCCCTCAAAGTTTGGAAGGGGAGCAGAGGAGAGGAACGCATAACAAAAAAAAAAAAGAAAAAAAAAGGCAAGGCAAAACCCAAAATTTTGAAACATACTGAATGATCCTGTTCATACTTAGTAAGCATGCAAGAAGGTCAATCACAAGCTGTCA